TGGTCAGCCTGGCTCATGAACCCACAGTGTATGAGCTAAAACTGAGAAATGCAATATACAGAGTGTACTTTAAAGTTGGAAGAGAGTCAACTCCATCAACATGGACAGAGGACCGGACAGATGGGAAACCTGCCCAGATGTAGAGGCTCTGCAGCTTGCGTCATAAATCTCCCAGCCACTGGTGCCATAATGGAGGTTCTGATAAAAAAAATTGGTTGCGTTCATGAAACAAATGCAGATTAGAATTGTGGACACCGATGTGACGCTGATGTTCCTCACTGAATTTTACACTATGTCCATACAATAACTGTTTCCAGCCATGTCTCCATCGCGTATACGCATTTCTCTCACCCTTTCTGTTTGGACCACATTACCTATTTTTTCAAGATAGCAGTCTGACAACAAGACCGATGACAGAAATGATTGTTGTGACGTGGGTGTGGGTTAATTCGGCTCTGTCAGAAAGACTTACATAACATGGCCAGTGGGGATGACAATAAAATCTGACTTGGCGGTAGACGTCTCCTCTTGGGAGGAGCCTGCTGCAGCAACACGGCAGAACAGTGTGAAAAACACGACACATGATAAATAACATGCAAATAATCCACCGGTGGGTACTAAGTGGAACCAAGGTGCATACAAACAGAGCGGAGCTAAAGCAGGTGGAGGCTGAATCAGTGAGTAAGAAACACATCGATATTCCTGCATCATCTGGTCGACCAGCTGAAATAAGTTGCTCCCAGAACTAGGGGAGTAGAGTACTTATTGAATTGTATTATGGTGGCTGAAAGAGCACAACACACTGCAACACTCACCTATTTAACAATATATGCAGCGTAATGAAACACAGTGCAAATAGAGAGGGGGCGGTACTAAAACTGGAGATTATGCTGACTATCAGTAAAAGCCAGTATTTTCAATGATATCAGAAAAATGCAATTAGAATGTTATAAGTCAATAAACCTCTAAATATCTACTGAACCATCCTCACAGGTTGCATACCTGTATTTGTATGAGTCTTGAGCTGCTCAACAAAACATGTATTTTTCCGTGTCTGATTGAGGAAAACAGACACTTTTCCAAAGAAATCTACAATTTTTTGTCGAGCAAGAATATGTTTCCTGTCCTGTGAATCATTGGCGATTGGACTCAAAACTGTCCAGTGTGTCACAGATTGATGTGAAGCTACAGCGAAGATATGAGTTGAAAATGTTTCAACTTGAATTAATAATTGGAACATATTTTCACGGCTTCATAAATTTGCTTCATAAAAATACGATAGAGGCGAGAGACTGAACACAGACACAGTCCCACACACACAGTTGGTGTGTTTGCAGCTCACAGCTAACATACAGTTGGTACGTTGGAATAAACATGGTGCAGCAGCACTTATTTTCCAACCCCCCCACCCCCCACATTGTGATATTTGATAAGTGATGAAATCTGATAAATTTGCTGTCGAGACAGCATAAAAAATGAACCACACATGTTTAAGTAGTTTGAGAAAACCAAGTTGTACATTCAAATGTACAATCTGCTCACCCGCGTTGCTGCTCATACAGCGGAGGACCTCCTTTATGGTTGTCAGTTAAATCAACTGGAATCACCTCTCTGTAGGTCAAATGAATAATTCTTCTCTAACGTTCTATTGCAAGTCATTGATCTTCTGGCGGCAGAAAGTATTGCCCAAAAGAGGCTAAACTGGATTGCACACAACTTCCCTGTAAATAGTGTCCTAGAGAGTCCGTCACCCCTAAGCCTGCATTCTGTCCATGTGATGGTCTGAATGAAAATCCAGCTGTCTGGAGAGGAGCCTGATGTTTTGACAGTATGCTGCTGGATCTTCACATCTTGTCTCTGTCTCTGGAACTAATCAATCCTGACGCCACGTTAAGCACAGGCCGCACCTGCGTCCCCTCTCCGGCTACCATACACACATACGGCATATGCACAATCTTGCATACACACATGCTCAGAGACCACTGCAGTACTCTCTCTACAGGGCCGAAGAAAGACAAAGTACATTCTGTCGGTATAGATGTAAAAAAAAAAAAAATGGAGCCATTTCCTGAGATGTGTATAGCTCCCAGCTGCCCCAAGAAAACCACAAAACTGTGTGTTCACAAGGTCTCAAGAGTTTGGCTGTTAATAGCGCTCTGTAAATCCTCAGGGGTGGCCATGTTGGGGAGATGGGGATCTGGCTTGTGTCTCTGACTCCTTTTTCATGCTAACGTTGTACACCTGCACAAGCACACGTGACCACCCAGACAAGATCACACACATGACTGTGGTAGTAGCTGGTATACATGGGAATAAAGTCGGATATAAAACAGAGTAGTCCTTCGACCAACAATTAGTCAGAGCCAAATAATGGGTTTTAGAGGATTCCTACATGTCTCTGCTGACATTTGGGAGAGCATTGGCACTGAAACTCTTAATTTGAGTTCTGGGAATCGCATGCATCAGCGACTTTAGTTTCAAACCTTTCAAACCCAAATGCATATTACACTATGTACTCTTGTCAGTAAGTTGGTGTGGCGGCTAAAAACCAAATATAGAATGCTGTAGTGTTGAAGAAAAGATTTATGGCACGGATGACAGAAAACCGCCCAATGTGTTCATTTCCTGTGGTGTGCCAGAGCGCTCGCTCTCTCTCTCTCTCTCTCACTCTACAAACACATGCACGCACACACTCATTTCAATGATAATATCAAAATCTAAGTCGGGCGCTATTACACTGCATATCTACATGTATAAGTAGTCCTGAAAGCAAATGATGTGACAGTGTCATTTTGATGAATCTGTTGCCTAAACTTAGTGTGGCCGGGATTCATGAGAAGGTGCTTGGACTGTGTTAAGCTCTTATCATGACTCTTTAATGCCATTAGTATATGCATAATGTATATGCATATACAATCGAGTTCCCCAAAGTATGTGAGGAGAATATTAATGTCCTGTGTTACCACATATTACAGTGGGGATTGAATATGGCAATGGGAGATTTACCTACAATATACTGAGAAATCTGACACAAGAAAAGGCTCAAGAATCCACCTCCTTGTGAACTTTGCAATGTTCTAATGAACACTTTGTATTTAAAAGAACTAGCTTCTGTAACATTGGGCTAGTAGTAGATATTGCATAGCAACATAATGCCAAAGAAAGACAATTTCCTTTCTGGACATCAAAACACTTCAATAATATGAAGCAGTCTCATCCTAATGCTTCTTCTATCTAGTAATAACAGTGGATATTGGGTCCAGAGGGGAAGACTTCCCAGCATCACGCACAGCTGTCCACTCGACAGAAGCTGGCTCACGCACTTCAGATCAAAGGGGTGATAGTTCATCAGCACATACTACAAAATATCTGCTTGGTAACAGCGGGCAGATTTGTCAGATCAGAGCATAAAAAGACAAATTTCTTTCAACCATGTTTGTACTCTTCTAGATGCTTGAGGTGCTGGTCACAGGGAATCCAGGCTTTATCAAATGTGAATATTTTAATATCAGAACAAGAAATCAAGTTGAATGAGATGTGTATTTTCTCATCTCACTAACTCGTCACTTTTCTGACTATCTATTGTGAAAGAAATGTATCTTTCACGATAAAATATTAACTCGAACCACTACTTTATCTCTTTGGGTCAAATTGTATTTCTTCAGATGATTTCATTAGCAGGCTCTCTGCTGCACATAATGATGGTGTCAATGGGAAAGGACCCTTGACTTGATTCATCATTACCACTCTAATTTGAGCTGTGCGGTACAAATAAGAAGTGACGAAATGATATGCTTGCATAAACACCCAAAAACAAAGTGTTGAGAGTTCTAAAGGCAAATGAGGACGAAAGAACCTGGGGGAAAAGAATCCTGGAAACATTACTATTTGTTTAGGCCACTGGCATTGAGATCCAAATAAACTCATAAGCTCAACATGCTGAGTTCATTTTAGGAAAGCTAGCATGTGAGTAATGGCTGCAGTTACGTACATATCATAGCTAGACTTGCGCAGAAAGAGTTCAGATAAAAGACGTATGATGAGAGTATACTCAACACATTTTTGACTGGTGATCGACCCATCATGGGACAGACATCACCCGGCTTCTCTTTGGGACTCAGGTCTGCAGTCTAGTTCATTACATAATAATCAGATATGAATTAAGTTTCACCTCTCTGTCTGCCCAAATGCTTCCTGACTCTTCTCTGGATCGCCAATGCGTGCTCGCTTTCTCTCTCTCTCTCTCTCTTTGGCAAGATTTTTGGATAAAGCCTAAAACAGTATCCTCTGCTGCTGTGGCAACTGCCACGTGCAGTGTGATATCATTTCAAAGTCAGCGGTCTACTTAACAATGGGAAGAAGGCCAAATGCGAGAAATGAAAGTGCATTGCCTTCGTAGCGTGACTCCACAATCCAACAAAGCTTCACTATTTCATTATTTGTCAAGATAAGTGAGGCGCACCTGTGTTATGAGAAGAAGATTCAAACTGGACTAGACAGCCCCTGTGCATTCCAGTCCAATAAGGAAAGCCGGGAACCATAGTGAGCCCATACCTTCCATGTAGACATGTGAGAAACATCACAAGGCAGACTGCTTCGTTCTCAGGGAAGGGTCTTTTGCTTGTCAGCTGGGGTTTGAATTGTGGGGGCAGTCGTAATCAAAACACACCAGCCATATGTAGACACTGTGCTACCCCTTCCATATGGGATTATTTATGTGTCTTCTGTTGTTAAAAGATCAAAGAGGAGGAAGGAGATTCGTTTGAGTTGATTTTATGACACATTTTAGCAAATTTGCAGGGGGGGAACATTAAATGCCCTGTAAAACCTGTTCCACAGCATGCAAGACCACCCCATTAAGTGTGCTAGCCCACATGAATACAAAGGACATCTGACTTAGTACTGTACATGTTGCCACAGAGTGTGAAGGGAATGGGTGTTTCAGTATGGCGGTGAATGTTAAAAATCTGTAAAAAACCAGCTGCACAGGACCCAGAACAAAAGGAGAACACAATCAATTTATTGTGGGAAAAGAAGCAACATTGTTTAGAAAGAAAACAAAAAAGTCTTTTCTGGCACATTGTTCATCTTTATATTACAAAAAGGAGAAAAAGGCTACAAATCTCGATAATTTATACAAATACGACAACTTCCAAAAATAAATCTTTAATTTAGTAAACACTCTGTGAACAAGTTTCTGCAATAACCCACCGCTTGAGATCCCTGAGCAGAGACACGGAGTGAAACACTTTTTTTTTTTTTTTTTTTTTTACATCTTCACTCAAGCAATAATTATCAGTGTTTGTTCATAAACACTTTATGTACACGGGAGAACTTAGCGAGCTCTTTGACAAAGGGGTGTGTGAGGTGAACCGTGATCACCTTACTGAACATATCACTGGTGACCATCACAGTCAAAAACAGAACAGTGTGACTGCAACACGCGACGTATATATATTCAACATCTCTATCCTCAACTGTAGGCGTTACTCTGTATTCACCAAGAATGAGCCACTCAACTGTATTTGGAGATTTTTCTCAGGAATGACCACATCCGCTAACTTCCTTCATGTTGCATGTAAAAACACAGTGCCAGCTGGTTCTGTTGCTAATGTAACACACACAGCAATACCTATCAATGTTTAGACTAAGGACACGGAAAGCTCACCAGGTTTGTGGCCGACGACAAACAAGTGATAACAAATACTGTACATATTCTTACTTCCCGCAAGGTGCCGTTTCACTTACTTTATGCTGACAACAACAAACAAACAAGTAGATGTTAATAACACTGATTATATACAAAATGAGACTTTAAGACTGAGTTTTGACAATATGGGAAATACTTCATGTAACGGACCAAACTTTCTCAGTATCTTGAGATTCCACTTCAAGTCCGGCTACTTTTATGCTGCAAGGTTTTCTCTGTATACTGCAGACAATGTAGGTATATATTAGAATTCATTTGTACAAACACAATGAAATTAATTTTATTCCAACAAAAAACATACGCATTAAAACATTTCCCTCAAGACGTGCTACGTCTGTGTGCTGTTCAGTGATGAAAAGGTGTACATCGGCATAGCTTCTGTATTTGGTTAGAATAACTCATCAGTTTCAGCTCCTCACGCTCGTTTGTAAGAACTTCAGACGTGTACCGAACTACTGCACCGGCCTCTTTGTTATTTCCACTCGTAGCTCTTTACTGTTGTCGAAAAAAACGAGTTACCATGGTGACTTGGCTTCCTTGCCAGTGCAGAACAAGAGGCAGTAAGTGGTAGAATTGCCAACTGTATGCTTCAGGAGATTCACACCTTTTATTATAAGGCATTCCATTGTGAACAGAGTCACAGTTTTCTTGCCAAAACATACTGTATTCGGCAAAAGTCCAGCCTTGGTGGAGCTTCTAGAGGCTATTGTTGTGCTTTACTCGCTACCAAATTAAATTCCCTTTTTCAAGTTTTCACCAAATACTAGGACATCTGCTACAAAATGGTTTGAAGTGATGGTGCTAATTTTCACATCTTCATGGTGACGTGTGAGTAATCTCATGAGGGAAACAAAGCGATTGGTGGTAATTGGTGAGTTTTTAGGGATTTAAACCTGTTTTGGTGACGTTGGATGGTATATCCTATTCCTTATTTTGCCTCTTTTCTTCATCATCAGGATGGAAAATGAGATCAAACAAAGAACTTTAATAAAACGTGATGGAAAATGCCCTCAGTGCAGCGGTCTGAGATGTTTCATTTAATACCTTATCTCACACTGCTCTGGGGGAAATTTAAAATCTCTGAACCACAATTCTTTTATTGAAAAAAAACCCTTAAATTCATCACAAATGTTGAAGGATGTACCCACTGTATGGTCTTACTTCAAGTCCAAGTGCTCTAGGTCTAAAAGAAAAAACAAACAAACGAAGAAGTGGTTCCGGTGAGAGCACTAATTTGAAGAAATTTCTAAAGAATCCAAATACCGCGCAGCGCCTGCCAAACTGTGAGCAATGCTTCAGAGGAAAAGCTGCTGGCCTGAGGTGTATGCAGAGCTCAGGATTTATTAGAAGGGCTGTGCGGCACAGTCATGGCCTCTCTGAGCAAACATCCTCCCTGAGTCTCTTCCATCTTTCCTGGATGAGAAGAGGGAATGAGCAGCGTGCAGGCCGTCCTTCCCCCCCCCCCCCCAGGTCTGGCGTACAGATGGGCAGGTAGGTGGGCAGGGTGAGCTCAGGGGCTCATGGTCCGCAGGCCCTGTTTCTCCATTATGTTCCACAGCTTACGCAGGTTGGACTGGGTGATGTTGTCGTCCGGTTTGAGTTGAAGTGCTCGGAGGTAATTGGCTTCAGCTTCTTGCAGCTTCCCATTGAGGTGGAGGATCGCCCCCAGGTTCATCAAGGCGGCAGGATACTAAAAGCAAAAAGAAAAGAAGAGAGTATTGGACATTTTAGGACAAGATCAGTTTCATAAGTAGCAACAGCTCGGGGTAGTTTCAAAAATCAAATCCTTATTATCTTTTGTTTGCTTTTTTGTTTTTAGCCTTTTGTTCTTGTTGTTGTTGTTGTTACTGTTGCTGCCCACATGGTTGCTTACTCTCCTGTTTCAGTAAGTTTGAGTCTAGTTTGCATTCGAGCTAGTTTGGCTTGTCTTGTGCTGTGTCATATGTTTGTTTCACGTTGCTCACTTGTATTGCACTATCAACAAAGAAAATAAAGAGACAGAGCAGGCACACAGAGTACAAACACAGTGACTCATCTTCTGAGAGATAGCGAGAGTGAGCGGACTTCGGATAATAAGGCTTATTTACTCGCCACTAATGGTGTGTTTAGAGAATTCATTTAATAAAAAATTAAACTTTTTACAACATCATAGGGCATGAATGGATAAGATGAATAATGCAAATGAAGTATAACTATTCACACTTCGGGGGTATCCACACATACAAGCATTGACCAGATGGTATTTCTGAAACTTAAAGCTTTAGACACTATAAAATATCAATCATATAACAAGACCAGTGAAAAATGACAGTCGATGACGACAAGAAGTTATAGTATAAACAGTTATTTTCTCCTTTTAAATAAAACAGTCACTGTAAAAGAACATTTTTTCAGCAGACCCTAACATGTTGTTGGTACGTTTGTCAGATCACACAGACTGCGGTGCAGTGTTTGGAGTTTGGTAACCAGGCTGCTTTGTGTGTTCCTCTGTCTTGTCTGGGGCCACAGATGTCGGAGGGATCAACCACCGCTTTGAAGTGGGTCTAGAATGAATACACACCAAATTGCGAGGGGCAGTGCGACGGGCGGGTGAGTCACGAGGACATAAGTACAGGAAAAGTGTCCAGGGTGCAATCACGGCAAGACCGTTGAAGTATCTAGGCCAAGGGAGGGGCCCACATCTGATCTCCATTTTAGTTAGAAGTGTGGAAAAGATGTCTAATCCTGTAGCAAGGCTACTGTTTTACTGCTCGAGACGATTGTAATTTCTATAATTGCCATTTCTAGGAAACAAGGAATGTTCAAATAAAAACAGTCTTCGCAAAAACGGTGCTGTAATTGCAGAGTTTTGTGAGCTTTTCTTATAATTGTCTGCCTAGACATCATTGTCACATGGAATGGCACCTGATTATGGCATCTTGACATATACTAGGAGCTCCACCACAAGCCTAAGCCTTCATTTCTTTCTCATGGCCTATTAAATAATCAAGAGTAATTCCTAGAGCAACAGTCCTGCACGAGAGAATAGTGTTTTTCTAGAAATGTTATGAGAAATGTGTGGAACGTTAGGAGAAACGCGTGGAAATGTGAACCATTCAAAACAACAGCAGTGCTGCAGAATAACAGTAAGACTGTTATAGCGTGCCAGTGGCTGCGTGAGGTGGTGCTTTGAGCTTAATGGCAACGTCACAGTGACGATGTTAACATGCTGATGATTAGCAGGCAATGTTGACAATATTCACCATCTTTAGTTCAGTGTTTTAGCACGCTAACATTTGCTAATGAGCTCAACAAAGGAGTCCAGCTGAGGTTGATGGGAATGTCAGTAGTCGTGCAGGCATTTCGCTGTACATCAAAGTTGGACAAATGAAAAATTGGGACTCGATGAAGGCGCTGGAGAATGTTCAGTAGTTATGACAATTCATAAGTGGAACATGAAAGTATGTTCCAGATTTCATGGCAATCCATTCAATAGTTGTCGAGGCTTTTTTCACTCTAAACTACAAATGTGAACCTTATGGTGACGCTAAAGAACAAGTCATGGCGTCACTAAAGTTATTCGGATTTACTCTCTTGGAACCATTATTGTCTGTAACGAATATTCAATTCATCTGTTAGATTTGAGCTATTCCACACGATAGGTGACATTTTTGATCTAGTGAAGCTACAGGAAGCACCATGGCTGATCAACCATGAATATCTGTACAAATTTCATGGCAATCCATCCAATATGTGTTGCGATGCATCAGTGGTGACCAAAGCTACTAATGGCAAAAATACACAGAAGTAAAAAAAAAAAAACATGTAAAAAAGCGTAGCTGCATGACTTATCAAAAAAGAGATTCAGATCCAATTCAGCTAATGTTTTATTTCTATAAAATAAAACATATGATACAAAAACTTTGATCAGATTTAAAAAGCCAAAGATGACCAGTTCATTCTCTGCATATCTATGGTTTAGTTATCCATGTGTAGAGAACCTTTTCAGAGAGGTTACCAAACACAGACTCGCATCACATGGCCATTTGTCTTGCTTTGTCCTCTCTGCAGGTTGTGTGAACCTTGTGTGTCCTTTGCCGGACTGTTCCACTCTTGTCTCACAACTCTGTTTTTCCAGTGTAAAGCTTGGATGAGTGATGCTCCATGCATGAGAATTTCAATTGGAACAATATGTCCAATTGTGCTGCTTTTCTCATAGGGAGACTTAAATTGGTGAATAAATCAAAGAGAATAATCCCGTTGTCCAGTTTCCCACAGCACACATATAGAACATGCTACCAACGCCTCGGCCAAAGTAAAGGCTGGCACATATTAGAAAGTTACTAGATACCAGTTCACTAAATTCGCTGCATATTCAGCAATTACAATAATCCCCTAGCAAAACAACATTTTCTCTCTGTGTTTCAATTATTGTTCACAGGAGAAGCCAGAGTTCCTGACTTTAATAGTGGAGGTAATTCTAGGGCTGTTTGTGCAGTAAATTACCTTCAGTTTGACTCACCATTGGAAGGTCAAACCACAAAACAACGCTGAGGGATCCATTTGCAAGTTCAGGGCTTTTTACAACTCAGAATGATGCTAGCCAAAATATATAACTGTTTATACATATGGACATAGTTGGAAGTGACAGTCGAGGGGCCACACACTATTACTGTACCCACAACATATGTGAGAAGTAGGTGAAAATGTGGAACTCTGGTGTTAATGTCATTTTGTGGCGTTGGTGAGGATCCAGTATGAGGTGAATTCTAATTATCACTTATCCTCAGTCAGGGGCGTAGGTTTGCTTTCTGAAGTTCTGATTAACTTATTATTGATCATAATAAATTAATAACAAAATAAATGATGCTATAGATTATTATTATATTAGTATGAGGGTCTTTTTTAGGAGAAATGTCTGTAAAGAAAAACAACTAAATAATTTTTTTTCACCCAAATGCAGAGGAGTTGGAGGATTTTATTCAACCCCCCCAGGAAGAGAAACGCGCTTTGAAGTAAATGTTTGCATTGGCCAAACAGTGCAATTATAACTTCCAGGTCAGTAACTTGTTGCCATTGGGCCCAAAAAGACTTTTCCCCATAGACCTACATTGGGAAAGAGATGTCTGTAAATCCGCGGCTGTTTTAGAATTTTTAGCGAAATCAACTTCCCAGTATGAACACTTAAATAACCCTTATTATTATATCATTGGGTCCTAAAAGTTGTAAAATGCAGATATCCAGAGTTATTTTGGTGCTGCCGTATATTTGAATGAGCCCTCGCAGCTAGGAGGCGGAGTTAAAGAAAAGACTAGTGCGCTTGCCCTTAAATGTGCAAGATCACTGGAAGATCGGGGTAATTTCATCACTCTGGTTGATCAAATATTGCTCAAGTTACTGTTGGGAAGGAAGGATTTACATTTGACTGTCTCTGACAGAACCTGCATGAAATATTCCAAAAACTCTTTTATGTTAAGCTATAGTCAGTGTCTCGACCCTAATCTCAGCCAATTAGCGTCGACTAAATCTGCCGCCACCGACTGATTTGTGTCTGTTAACTCAGTCCGACAAATCAGGTTGATTAAAAGTGTGACGGACCCGGCGCCTTCCTTCTGTTTTTGACACCGTTTTGCAGTTTAGCTTTATCAAGCGTTAGTTGTAAGATTGTTTTTATGGGGACGGGCTTCATTGGTCCATCGAGACTAGGGAACAGACGGAAGGGAGTTTCTCTCCGCTACATTTGTTTTTAAATTAGAACCTGTAATCTTGCGTTTGCCGCTGCACTTTTTACCGCTATATCATTAGTCTCTGCCTGTGCAATTAAAAAAAAAAAAAAAGTTTACTCCAGAGACAAAGGAGTCTGCGTCAATTCCTGTTATTCATCATGTTAGGTGGCTGGTTTACTGCCCCCCCCATGGAGACGTTATCACAGTGCGTGCATGAACCCAACTAATCGATACAATAGACACAGTTTGAAAAGCCAATGGGGAGCAAGCTTTTAACAAGATAAAGTTTGTCAAGAAAAGAGTGTTTTGGATGAATGTGAGGTCAGTGAAGATGTGTGCCCACAATTCTGAAATGGGCTTCTGATCCCTGGATAGAAAGTTAACTGACTCCTGGTTTTCCTCTCAGTGCAGCTCAAAAGATCTTTTCTTCTCCGCCCATGCGGGACTTATCAATGCCTGAGTTAATTTTCCTTCCCCACTCTCCCCTGTAGGCTCCCACCATTCCTCAGCCAAGCCTTTCTACCCCTACTTTTATATAGCGAAGACTTTTATGATTTATAACCTCACTCCTGCATTCTTCCTCACCCTTGCAACACTTGCAACTCTCTGCTAAACGTTCCCTTGTCAAAAGCTTTCATTTTTTCCCTCATTTCCTGCTGCTCTGCAACCTCTCTGCCTGCCTACCGTTCCCAAAACTGGCATGTAGCAGCAGAGGCATGGCCAGATGTGGAGCATTTTAGCCCTAGACCATAAAGAAACATATGCTGGGAAGGCTGTGAGAATGACCCGATAACAATGATTTAAGATTGACATTTGGGTTAAGAATATCTACATGTCATAGGGTGCAGACAACGGCCAAAGCAAACCAAGCATCCGCTGGGATTTAGCTCGTCTCGATGGAAGGAATTGTCGGATTTAGGGGGTAAATCCTTCCAATGGAGGGAATTGTCCTCTCACTCAGAGCAAGCAAAAATATGTGCTTAATATAAAACACCAGTGCTTTTGGAGAGTGAAGAGTCAAGACACAACAAAGATGGACAGGGTACATGGCGCAAGTCAAGTTACATCGGAGAGAACAAAGGATCATGGTAAAGGAGATGGATGAAGATGCTAAATTCAGCTGTAAGCAATACATATGACAAAAGGCATCCAAGCTAAAGGGACCAAGTAGGGGCAAAAAAAGTGCCCCTGAGTGTGGATGTGGCCATCTAATGCGTGTTTGTACAATTACAGATGCCAAGTAACAGTCATGAAAAAATTGCACGGATCTGGAAATGGAACCGTAAGGAACACAAACATCCTCCGCACGTTTTTACAGAAGTGCATATCCATCTAGGTGGCGGCACGACAGGGTTCTTCTCAATGGCCCACTCTGTTTCCTCACATCCACTCCACTCGTTCTCAAGGTGATTTACAAGTTTTGAAGAAGATATCCTTTAAGATTTCCAAACGGAGAAAGAAAGCGAGCTGCACAAAGAGGAGTTTGTGCTATTTATTAACAGATACTCCGTGGAAACACTCACACAATTCACCGTAAACTTATGGTTGTCTTACACATGTTTGAAAAAATGCATCTGGGGTTAGTTAAATGTTAAAAATACGCTACATTGACGCTGAGAACAACAGAGATGTGATAGCAGCTCAATTTCATGGTTTCAGTGGAAATATTCTATCCCTTTGTTATACTCAACTTTTCATTTATCTTTTTGTTTGTATATATTATACTGGGGTTTGTAAGCTTGCAGAACTCAACTACAACATTGTCCATATATATTCAGATCATTAATCCTGAAGTGATTTCTTCTAATCATGACACGGGAACAAACAGGCCGACCACATGGCAAACACATTTTGCTCTCTCTGCGGCCCTCACCTAAACAACTCGACCCCTCCTGCCAAAGCTCTCAAAGACTTGGACCCCATTCATTTTCAAGATGTCAGAGTCCCCTGACTGAGTGTTGTTGTCATTATTCTTTTCAATCTACTTACCCTGGCCTGCCCCTTTGAAGCCGGTGATGGATGCTACACAAACAAACCTCTGAGCTTAGCAAAAACCTCACTGACAATGAAGGCCGTTGTGACAAGGCAGACCTATATATATAATATTGGAAAGCCACCCAGACTGTGATTGCACAGTGTCCATCAGGGTAAATAGTAATGGGGATGATTAGCTGCGGTTTTACTCACATTGGGTCTCAGGCTCGCTGCTTGTCCGTAATACTTCTCGGCGGCCTCGTTTAGGCTGGCTTGTCTGCAAAGGGAAAACAGAGAGAGGCGGTCATTACTCATCTTTATTGCTCCTGGCTTCGGATGAGGCCTCGAACCCTGCATGTTTACTGGCACTCAGGGGTCACTGAGAAAATAACAGGAGGGAAGAGCACGACGAGGGATGAGGAAAGCCAATCCAATCGCCTGCTCTCCTTCGATAGCATCTTTCACTTGATAACATCTGTGCTGAGCAGCGCACAGCAAGCACTTTCTGCTTTAATTGAACATCGATGTTCGGGACGTTTGGCTTATTGGGAACTTCAAGAGAACTCATTAACAAACCGAGTCCGATCGGCAATATTCACTGTACATTTCTGTTGAAGCTGGTGGGGGAGATGGTGGTTTGACATGCTGGCTGGATACTGAGACACTGGAGGAATGCAAACAGTGTGGAAACACAAAGTCATTTAATCATACTATCATAACAACCGGGACAGCAGAGTCGATGGCGCAGATGCACCAAAACACGCTGCATATGCCACACTGCGACAAAAAGGATTTCTGGGGCAGATGGCTTATCGGCATGAGTCCCTGGAACCAGAAATATTTTGTTCCTGAGGACATAGAACCTGCAGTCAAGACAGGATGTCCTATATTTATGCTTCTTTACCTTCTTTCATAAGCCCCCTGCTCTGCCTACTGTTATACACAAACCTGTGGCTCCTCTGCCACGAGGCCTTTCCTGTTATTAAAGCTCTGGTATTTCAGAAATCACCTTCGTGGTCCACAGCTGCATGCTTTTCACCGATGGTAACAATTGTCTCATTGCAAACAATTTAACTTTGACGAAGTCAAGGAGAGAGTCAACGACGGCTGGCCGTGGAGCCCCTCAAGTTGTAATGATCAAAGGACGCGAGGCCGTTGGAACCACAGTTTCATTTAGGCTGTCGGGGTCTATTAAAGGATCATCATCCACCTGGTTCCAGATAAAAGGCAACGCTTTTATTTTAGGATTAACAGATCAGTGGCCAAAGTAAATACATAGTATTTATGTTCGGTTTTAAAGACACTGTCAAATGTGTTCTAACGTTTTTTTATTCTAATATTTTTTACTATTCACCACTGATCAATGAGAAGACAAGTAATGTTTTCTTCAGTAAGATATAACATATTTTCTTACTTAAAAGTTAAATATATTGACAGAAATAATTACTTTTTAATTTACCAAGAGCTGTGAGTCAAGTGGTGAACCTAGAAACTGACATTTAAAACCAATGGCGACCAATAAAAGCACCTTGATGCTCTAACACCAGTGATGGGCCTTTAAACAAGAGAGCACAGTTATTATGCTAAGTGAGAAATAAAAGCCACAACGTGAGAGTGTTTTAGGGCTAAATGCTTCCAGCAGCATGCTAACATGCTCACAATGACAAGGCTAACATGCTGGGAATCACCAAAGTCAGTATAGGATTCAGCCTCTGGAAACCACGAACGGCTGTTCCATGGTAATTAGTCAGATAGTTGCTGAGAAATTTGAGTCTGTAAGCAATGTGGTGGACCAACTGACACGGCGATCCCTTATCATGCTGACATGACGCAAATGTCTTTTGTGTAACATTGATCTTGAAGAAGTTATGCTGCATGTTATCATGTTGCACACTTCAGAAATACAGACGAACATGCCGCCGCTCTTTGTTTTTCCAGCTCTGGTCCAAAAAATTCCATTCCAGGCGAGTTACTGAATTTGTCCTGAGATTATAAATGTGGGTTTCATGTCCAACCACAACCATATGTTTGTTTGCCAGTATAATATTTAGAAGGTGCAACCTTCTGAGAAAAAAAGAAAAAAAACATGTAATTGTATAATATCATTATCACATTATCAGAGGAGAACTGGAGAGCTGCCACACCATGAGCCAAAGGGGCAGCGGGACCTCCTGGGGCTGTCTGCGGGTTCTCACAGGGCAGACAATGGAGGCCAAGTATGTAAACCACTGCCCGGCTTTAAACCCGAGGAAGAGAGAGTGTAAGGCTGCACGAGCACAGGAATAAGGAAGAGGACGGGAAATGGAGCAGGAATAAAAATGAAAAAAATCTGCGAAGAAAAGAACTCTTGACCATATTTCAAATCAGCAACTTAACACTCATCTTTTTACCCTGACGTCTTGTTATGTAGAGATGGTCTATTAACCCCAGGCATGCACAAATCAGAGCACTGACAGTACTGCTTAGAAGCGTGACATTGTTGGATACTAATGACAGATTTTCAACAACAGCCAGATATTTGTGCTTAAACCGCAGCCGTCCCATCTGTTTCGAGTGCAGAGTTATATTTTTTTATTTTAGTTAGAATGCTACACTGAACACAGACATCCTCCCTAACGGTAGTACTGTACGTGTAGTGTAATGTAACTGGCTACCAATGTAATCCTTTTATTACCATTATGAGGTTAGCAATTTATACACTTTTTTGGAAATTGGGACGGCTAAAAATGCACAAATTGGCATATCTAACATCATGACGTGGCAGTAACATACAGTAATCTTTTAGATATGGTCGATTATATTATTATGTAAGACATGTGGTTTGGATAGGAATCCAGGATGTGAACTATGAGTGCATAACCTGCTTGAGTTTGTCTTTTAGAGATTCATTTCCCCCCCGGCTGTCTGTGAATATACAGATTTAACATTACTATATGATGTCACGGTGTCATTTCTTGGCTTTCACTGACATTTGACACATTAAAGGGAAGTATAAACACATCCCCATTTGCCTCACCACTAATCGGTCTTTTCTGACCAACATTCAAAGTATAAACAAGAAAAATGAAAAAACGTTGTTCAAAGGAGGTAGAAGGAAATTATTAGTTTGGAATGGTCAAAAGACCGAGCGGCCCGGGAGAGCAATAAAAGACATTTGTACGTCTGAGAGCGCCTGCCTCTCCTTTTAATCTCTTCCCTTCCCCCGCGTAGATTCACTCGTGTCCCCACCGACCGAGGGCCTTTCCGTGTTTGCTTCCAAGACAAACACATAAAGAACATGAGCTGTGGAGGAGTGGGACCCCATGCCAAGCAGGCAGAGAATAGTTCAGCCCGAGCATTGCATGAAGCTCTCTTTAGCTGCCAGGGGTCTGGGCCATGGAAGAGGCTCTCGATGCAGAAAGCCTCTTGGGGGAGGGAGGGGGAAGCCATGCATGAAGCAGCCGAGTAACAATGTTGGGTAAAGAGACACCAAACTCTGGTGATTCAAGACATGGGTTCATGGTCTTAAAGGAATAGTTCGACAATTTAGTAAACGCTTGCCAAGAGTGACATGTGAAGATTGATAAAGTAGAAATCTTGACTGTAACCTAAATATGAAGCCACCCACCAGCACCTTTAAAGCTCTCTAATTAACATGTTATATCTCATTTGTTTAATCTGAACCAAGATCGAGAAGTGTAAACATGACACATTAGGTTTTACAGGCAGCTGCTTATTGCCATGAGATATCAATGGAATGAGTAGAAAAAGATAATCATCGATTCCAACTTCAGAGTGTTCATGCAATATTCAAATCGTTCCATCATTTATTTTGCCTAAATTGGCTGTAATTTGCCAGCAAAGATGGAGTGAGAGTCGCCAACGGGCCGCAGCTCAGCTGGCAGCCGGACGGCAGAGACAAACAGCGTGTAGCGCCGGCATATCTTCACATCTTATTCTGTGAATTAAGGATATATTTCAGAGTTGCTGATTGTTGGAATAGTGGAAAGACTAACAGACTAATAGTTTTGGTGATTTTATTTTTTTTCCCACAGTCCAATTTGAAGTGTTTTACAATGTGTTTTAACAAGGCAATTAAGCATTTATTTGTTCGGTGTAAAAATGTTTATTTATCAGACGTATGCAAACTCGCCACTTGCACGCAATGCGTCCTGGTACATGTAGGCACAGCCGGCACGGCTTCTCAGCCGGAGAAATCAGCTTTCTCTCACAATATTGCACGCACTGGGGGTTTATTGCTTTAGAAGACTATATTTGCCGTCAGCACTGATTGGACATCCACATAAAAGTTGGAAAGTTTGAGAGCGGTGTCAAATTTCCCACCTAACTCTGCAAGAAAGAGAATATGCATATGTCCCAAAATGTCATACTATTCCTTAAAAGATAACCGTTACTTGTTGGCAGTAGTAATTAAAAACGCATTAAGTGGCCTTTGATGCGTTTAAAGGAGGAAATCTCTACACAGGGTCGTCATTCTGTAGGTTTATTCAGTCAGTGGGGCAGCAGACTGGAAGTTGGCACATCGCTGTATTTACAAACTTGCACTCACGGCTTTTGTTCAGAAACACAACAGCTTGTGGGGCTGCTGAAGCTTTGCCGCTGAGGCTCATCAGCTGAGCCTTGCGCTGATTTGGAAGCTGACTTTCGAGCATGAGCGGGGGAAAGAGTGAGACGGGAGTGAGAGAGGGGTACAGCGAGAGTGAGAGCGAGCACGTGAGGAAACATAGCTGCACAGCATGCAAAGACAAACCAGCAGCTCTCTCCGGCTGGCGGTGCGGCGAGAAAAGAGGATTACAAAGTACAGCCAAGTAAATCATACTGGCTGAGGAGCAGTGTAAGCCCCCTGGATAAACCGTGCAGACAGTAGACCTCCCTCTCTCACACACACACACAGCCGCCTTTCTACTCAACCATGGAAAACTGTGGCCCGAGCCGTCTCATCGACAAAGAATGAATTACAGTACATGCAGTGTCTTTACAGAATCATTCCAATCAAACACTCACCTGAGCATGTGGGCTGCACTGAAGACCACGTCAAACTCCCTGCTGTCGAGGCGTGCGGCTTTCTCTGCCATCTCTGCGGCCTCCAGCAGCCGCGACTCTTCCAACAAAAACTGACCTGGCACGGCAGGAGAGAACAGCACTACTGTTAAAAAAACGCTGAGGGATCCCCACGGAGGCACAGAGGGATACACAAGTGTTGCCTTTGGCCCTGGTAGAGCAACAGCCTGGTCTGCCCCTGAAATAACACGCCGATACTAGATATGAGTGCAACATACCATCACTCTTCGGCCATCTCTCAGACTCATTTGTTCAGGGTTAGCCGACCTTGATAGATCTGTTTCTTTAAGATGAAACTGTTCCTGGCGGAAGGTTTGTGCCTTATTACGGGTGCGGCTGCGTTTGGAGTCGACCTCTGTGGACCCGCAGAATGAGCCGGGATCGTGGAAGCCCGACAGGGCTCTGAACAGAGGTCGGACCGCTTGGTCAGGGCCAGGTTTAGAGAGGAATTAATACCCTGTTGACTTTGGTTATCCCCACTACTGTACCAGGAGGCTAAACCACTGTGTGAACCTAAGCATATTTTCCTTAATAACTGCGGATGAAACTGAAGCCATGAGTACAGGCCTAAGGTGAGAGACGGATGTAAAGTGAGTCTTCAGAGGGTGAAATAGCTCCAGGTTACAAACACCTCTGCAGTTATGGAGGGTTTATGATATATCAAAGCCAATCTATGAGTAATAAGACATTTTTTTGTATTTTACAAAGCTATGTATACAGACTTTGATACTGTAATCCTTTGTTCATCATGTAACAGCGGGGCTTTTATGGGAATATTGGAAGATCCAGTACAGTACAGTGGGGAACTTGAGCTTTTGGGTTTTTCTGGTCAGCAACTATCAAAAACACAACTTCCAGCAGCCAGTCCTGATCAGAATAAGGTACTGTAATAAATGGATGGTTTGTGTCTGAGCCAATAAGAAATCAGTTTGCATCATGGGGACGCTCCACCTTTAATCATTCATCAATTGCATGAGTCATTAACCTTTAAAGGGGACAACTTAGACATAATAAAGTACTTTGGGAAAATGCAAAAAATCCACCATCCACCTGGTGTATTGATGGCTTTAAATGTCACATGCAAGCTGGTGCAACGACAGCGAGCTCACACTTCAGTTCATCGTAAAATGCTGTTTCAGACAGACAAGGTTTTAAATGACAGAAGTATTTAACTCGTCGGCTTATTCAAAATCAATATTACTATTGTAGTAATTCAATTTTAAAAAAAAAAGAGGTAACGCTGCAACTTCAAGTCGTATGGAAATAATGTAAGCTAAGAGAGATGCTGAAATTGTCACGTTGCACACTTTCATCAAATCAAAGAGAACAATCTGAGGAAATCATCCCCTACCGATGGGATCTACTACTGACCACAGACTGACACAGTGACTGATTAGGGGAAGAGATGGCAAAGGGGTCAGCCAACAACCTGCCAAGCTGTGGAAGTTCCTGCCTTTGTGCTCGAGTGCATCATGCATGTGTTGAATTGACAAAAAATATATTTGAGGATTTAAAGATAAAGACAGGATATGACAAATTAAAGGTAAAAAAACCCAAAAAAAACTCGATACTTACCATAATGCATGTAGCAGTTGCCTTTTGCGGGGTCGAGTTGAATGGCCTTCAGGAAGTACCTCTCCGCTTCTGTTTTCTGCCCCTGTGAGGGACGAATGAAACGGCGTCATTATTGTTTCAACTGCTCCTCAAAACTACTCATCATAATAAAAATGCTGCACTCAACAGCAAAAATATCTTTCAGTATAGCTAATGTCCCTCTCCAAGCCGCAGACCTACTTTCACAATAAATCTTGATAAATGGACATGAAACACATGGACCGCAAGTGTTTTTCTTTCAAGCTCATGTGTCGTCCTGTCAAAGTGCATGCTGTCAGGCTTGGCACAGCAGAACAGGCTCATTCATTACACACTTTTATCCGTGCAAATAACACTTCCAGAGCATGACCACAGATTGCCAGTGTGTGGCCTGAGTGCTATGAAGCATGGCAGAGGGCAGCGGGTGGAAATGGAGCGAGAGGAGACGAAGGGGTTGAGGGTGATCATATACAGTACTTTCAGGTTCACACAAGCACACAGAGGTGCATGGCGCGCGCGCACACACACACACACACACACACACACACACACAGTTTGTTTTTTTTAATGTGTGTGTTGCACCAGCTTTTGGACGGATAAAAGAATCCATACAGGGAGGGTGAGCATACCATGATGAAGAGAAGCATCACTGAAGCCCTGAGGAGCTGCAGAGCTCCCTCAGGTCCTTCAGACTGTGAGACGTAACCAATCATAGCTCAAACGGAACAGAGCAGCTGGCCAATCGTGGTGCCAGCTGGGACTTTGACACATCCCTGCTCTCAGTAGGGCACCAGATACCATCTGATCAACAGTTAACAATGCACACTCATCTATAAAGGCTGATGTTGTAGCATTGACAATGCAGCCATTAGTGTGTGTTTCACTACAAGAAGATGCCTTCGCATGAATAAAACATGAAGTATATTGCTAAATTCAAAATCGTCAAAAATGATGGAGGATTAAAAACAGATTGCATAAGCCAGGAGAAATAATGTATATCAACTCAGCGTGAAATACAGCAAATGCTTCAGTTTAGTCAAATCGAAAGAATGGGCTCAAATCCAATCAGTGCAGAGTAGCAAGAATGACATACACTTAGTCCAGCGTATACCTTTTCAGTGGGCTGTAGATTCAATAAATACATAATTTTCGAATGTAAATATATGAGTGGGGTTTCCCTTGATGCTGCGGAAAATCAAGCCTGGGCTAAGTATATGTTTAGTAGAGTTGATGGTGTCCAAGTAGCGATCACAGTTCCAGGCTGAAAAGCGTCCTCTCTGTGTGTTTTTATACTCGTATTCACAGATGTAGGAATGTGTAAGTTTGAGGGCCAGCTGGTTTTACAATAACAGAGGCCTTCGTCTGTTTATTAAACCTCAGAATAAAGCTTTCACACATTGACATGAGTTGAGCAGTTGTAAGTGGTCGGCGGATTTATACAATGACACGTCTAAGTATATTAATGGATATCATGCCCAGAGTAAGATATATGGCAGTTAGGACCTCAAAAAGTAACAAGTTGCTCTATTCTCCTCCTATTGCAGTTTTTATTAATCCCTAGAGAGGCAATTTGTTACAGTTGCTGTTGTATCGTTGTTGTTTTTTTTAAAACACAGCCAACTGCATTGTATTTCATCTTCAAATTATTGGATTACAACGCATTAGGCTGACCTGTGTCTCCATGAAAAATCATGAAACCCAACCAGCACTGACGCTCAATTGTCTTGTTATTGTTTTTCTCAGCAACGTCAATCACGCCAATGCTTCCAACCCAATGTGAGTTAATTACTCCACCACTTATCATCTAAAAGGGATAAAAAAAAAATGCGTGTGACAGGGAGAGAAATTAACTTTTGCGTTTTCTGCAGCTGTTTTCTGCTTGGATCGGGTTCAAACGTAATTTATCTGAAATGTCTCTCCTTCTTTCTCTGACTGTGCCAAACCTCCATGTCCATACAGTGTGTGTTGTTCGTTGCAGCAAAGATATCCATTTGGGAAAAAGGAAAACATGTATAGCCAATGTGTTGCACATAATAAAAAGAATATATTGAAGCAAAAACAAGTTCAGGATCTTGGGTCTGGTCTTGAATGTGGTCGTACCCATCAGGTATTTTCCACATCTCTTGACTTGACCCTCCCTCTTTTTTTAATTAAAAGCACCACTAGCTTGGGGAGGGGGGGTGGAAAAATAATATGGGAAGTCAATAACAAAATACCAGCCACCCTTCAAACCACACTTTCCATTAAATATATCCACTTCTCCTTTTAGTCAGCTCGTTGTGTGGATACAATATCCTCCCTTCTGTCACACACATGCTGAGGATATTGGTGCGTGCCTGACACCCTCAAACCTCCTGATAACATCAGATAAACTGCAGATGCAGCCGGGGCTCTGCGGACGCTGAGGTGATTATGAATGACGCCTGCATCGTATTAGCTGAGGAAATGACAAGTAGATGACTGAAACCAATATTGCAAGCATCAGGGATGGCCGTGTCCATCTCTGACCCGTGGGTTTGTGACGAGAGCCCGAATCACATCCTGATCTCCGGGGTGTCAGCGGAGGTGTGGAGGGGTCAGCGAAGCAGGGGAGAGGACGATACTGATCTGGGTTATTAACTCTCCCTTCCTCCCCTCACCCTTCTCTGACCCTGCTGCCAAGCCCCATCTCGAAGTCTCTCCACCTCCCCCACGGGGATCTGAACCTCAAAAAAAAAAACCCTGACAGTATCTAAAGTTTCTTCATCACTCACAGTGGTGCCACAATGAGTGCGGAGGTAATAGGGGTAGAAAGGAGAGGGGGCTGTTGGGCAGGTCAACATCCTGTGCTGGTCTTGATCACACTTAAATGATGTTGTCATCAGGCACAGAGGCCATAGCTACAACAGGAAGAGAATACATGAAGTGGTACCCTTCTTTATGGATAAAGAGGCTCTTAAGCTTGTGCAAACAACTAAGTTCCTTTGGCATTATTTGCACTCACAGAATCACGAGGGCTCACCATTCATCACGCTCAGAGATTTACAGAGATTCATCCCTGCAGGTTTGAGCTCTACTTTCCTCCAAAATCAATAACACTTTCTTGTATGAAATGAGTTTCTCTTAACGGCCCAATGCAGCCTTCCCTGAGTCCACTTCAACGAGTCTGAACACTCCCCTCTAAAGAAGTGTGCTGTTCCTGTTGACTGTCCTCACTGACAGCGTTGGGTTTCAGATAGTCTTTGATATCCGATGGCTTTTGTATACAGAGCGGAACTCGCGTCAGCTTAACAAGCGACTTTTGTCTGTGGTGTCAGCTGAACTATTCTTCAAGCTGACCATTTGTCTGTCTACGGATGGGAACATCAATCTAGTGCTGGAGCTCTATTTCATTTAAACACAATGATCTGCACTATAACAGTAAGACTTCTTCACAGAGGATACACGATGTAATGAAACGATTGAGCCACAAATTTATGACACACATGAGGAAGAATCTACACAATTATCAAATTAGATGAAATTAGTTGGATGCAACAATTTATACCACTCTCCTGTATGTGCAGCTTAGCTTAGCTTAGCATAAAGACTGTAAGACTCTCCAAAGATAACAAGACCTGCCTATTTGTTTACACCTTTGTGTGGATTTAATAACCAAGATTTAACATGTTAATAAGTGAACTTTTTGCTGGACAGAGACAGTTTAATTGTTTTCTCTTCTTGCCAGTCTTAATGCTAAGCTAGGCTAATGTTGCTGGTGGTAGCTTCATATTTACTGTACAGACATGAGAGTGGTATCAAGCTTCATCTAACTCTCCGCAACAAAGCGAAATGACACACTTTTTAATCACACAAACAAGTGCATTTCCCTAAATGTCTTTTTTTTAAGCATATATTTTTACGTGTTATAGCCAGAAGTCACTTGCCAATCCTTGCCAAGAAGTAGTCCTGTGGGTGGATTTTTGTTGTAGACAGAGCCAATCTTTAAGCTAAGAGCTAACCAGCTGCTGGCCGTGGCTTCATATTTGATGTGCAGATACAAGAGCGGTATTAATCTTCTCATCGAGCTCTCGGCAGGAAAGAAAGCAGGCATATTTCCCAAAAAGTCACACTATTCCTTCCTATGGGCTTAAAATAAAGCTCCGATACAAAAACTGACAAAAATTGTTAAATCTTGGATTTTCCAGCCAGTTTCGGTAACCGATGTGCGAGCAAAATTCTTCCACGCATATCAGTTGTGAAACACAAAACCCATCATTTTGGAAAGACGACAAATAAAAAGAAGACTGTTTCCATAAGGGAAATGAAAAGGGACGGGGCCAGGAAGACTCTAGCCTCTCTGTGGAATTCCAGCTCCTGCCGCAGGCTATCGAACACATTAACGTCTTTTCATTAGGGCCCAGACTGTGTGAGAGAGGCGTACGAGCTGAAGAGAAGGGCCTCCACCCTTCTTTTGACCATCTGTGCAACTCTTCTTCTAATTTGTTTATTTCTCTTCCGACCGTCTCTCTCAGCTCTAATTGCTCCCCTCGGTCAGCATCTACTCCAAATACGCCTATCTAGCTGCGATCTTTAACGGATGACTGTATGACCTGACCACGTGACCACCTCCTCGTAAACCCGGCGACACTGGAAACCGTTTCTGCCCCCGAGACTTTCCCGCATAGACGGCACTTTCTTTGGTTATTGAAACACAGGTCAGCTGTGTGACCCCGACAGGATATTATCTCCGTCTTGGAAAGCTGTTTAGCTGTTGGTTCAATGTTGTGAATGCAGCTTGTGGAGCTACTTCTTTAAAATCCTATAGTAACAAATTACAAGAACCAAAAAAACAGGCTGCTAGGACAATGTTTTTAATCAGGAAGTCCTATTCCCAGCTTAGACAGGAGCATCTTGAGAAACACAACGTGACAACCGTCTCTCTCATGCCCACTATCTTCCAATCGTTTCCCTCTCTCTCACCCACACACTATTGATTAACTGTAGAGACTTGAGAAGGACATTAGGAACTATCAGTAAAGAGCTGGAGAGGGCTGATGAAAAGCCAGGGGAGATGAAAGAGAGTGTAATAAAAAGGAGAGTGAGCACAGGCAGAGAATGAGAACCGGTTCAGGGAAACAAAAAGTTGCGACAACGTCACCGCTTTGATACAGTCAGCCGGCAAAAATATCCATGAGAAAAAGAATATGTAATTTCTTCTTTCAAAGGGAAAATTGTGTCTCGCCTCAAAGGTAGAACGAGCGAGGACGAAATGTAAAGTCTCACCGTCATAGCCAGTAGTTTGCCATAGGTGAGATGTGCAGGAATGTGGTCCGGCTTGGCTCGCAGGGATTCTCTGTACCAGTGTTCAGCCTCGGTCAGCTTGTTCAGTCTAATGTAGGCCTCTCCTGTGGGAGCAAAGTGAGCGTCCAGTCAGGGGTCAAGCTGTCGAGAGGTTAAGACATCACACATCTTCCCATTGTTCAGCTGAGCGATGCAGCAGCGAGACCAAAGCTCAACCCAGAGGGCCTCTCAACCCCATGTTTTATTTTCATCAAATTATACGTTTACTTGCATGATGCCTGGCACTAAACGGAAAGAATGCAGATGCCTTTGCTTTAGAGTGCCACAATGCAAAAATAAATGTACTACTTTCTGTCTTTCACAAAAGTAAATCTTTGATACCCAGTCAGTAATGAATACCTCAAGTCGCCGTCAGGGTTTTTATTTCCTCAAAAGTGAAATGAGCAAAGTTCAGTGTGTGCGTTAAAAACTACAGGAGAATACACTGGGCTTATAACACACTCCCTCACTCTCCCTGATGTGTCAGACATCATGGGATACCTCCCCCACCGCCACATCTGACCCTCTGCCTGCACCTGAAAAAACAATACCCTCTCTTTCATAGCCATCCAACAACACGTGTATGACTGCAGGAATGTGACAACAGCGGCTGGTGATTGAACACAACACAGTTAAAATCAACATCGTAACACATTTAGGGAAAGAAACTGAATGTACACCAGTTGTGGTAAAATTTCACTATAACATGATTAGACAAGTTGTTTGGACTAGAGTGGACCGACACTTTAATTCTGAGAGGATTAGGTCTAATCTCTTCCCTGATAGGAAACTGTGATAAGCAACAGGTGTCCCACGCCTAATCACAACTCTGGGACCTTTTTAATGGTTTGAAAACACACATTCCCCTTTCCCTGCGAATGAGCAATACCGCTGTGTATGAATACCTCTTAACACACAAGTGTGTATCCACCTCCCCCCTTGAGATGTAAAGCGATACATGAGAATATATTTTCAAGATGATATCCATCAGCACAGCCTTATGTTTCAGATTTGAGTGTTGGAACACATTATCGCAAATGTCCTTGTCACCAGCTAACATCAAATAGAGCAACGGAATGGATTAGAGAGGATCTCCGTATTGTCGTAAAATAGAGATTTATTTTTAAGCTTCCAATAGCCAGTTTGCCCCCCCGCACTCCAACGTGATATGTATACTAAAAATAGATTTACCAGCACCCCAAGGCACCGAGCTAAACTAATGGATGTACAGGCCTGTTTTGACACGACCGCTTCATTAGTTTGTGGGTTTAAACGTGGCAAAATGACTTGCCTCGCGCTCGCGGCAGCAAGCCGTCTGTATGAGATTAGCACAAACATCAACGTGCAATTAGAAGTGACATTGAATCCGAGGAGCTGAAAAGCAGCCCCTCGGAGTGGAACATTCCTCGGCCCCACCAGAGAGTGTTGGAGCGAGACCAGCAGGGTGCAGATTACCACCCAGGTCTGCCTCTGATGAAAGCTTCTGCTGCCTGGCATCTGACAAACAGCATGAGAGCAGCGCAGCGAGCGAAAGCTGGAGACATGTATGAGCAGGTGTGCCAAATGCGCAAATCAGTTCAGCGAGGAAACAAGGCTATGCTGCAGAAATCACAGATCTCTGGCTCAGCGCCCCCATTACAGATGCAGCGCTGCTCCTTAACGCTGACTGGAGCTTTCAACAACATTTTGACATAATCTCGCCAGCTCTGTCAAAATGCATTTTGCCAACATATATGCGAACCTGTGGCACTACCAAGTCTGGATTACAGACTGTGTGTGTGTGTGTGTGTGTGTGTGTGTGTAAGCAGCTGCATGTGTGTGAGTGAGAGAGAAACAAAGCAGGAGGGAGACAGAGAGAGAGAAAAAAAAAAGTTAAAAAAGCAAGGAGAAAGCAGATATAATGAGCCTGAAAGCAGCTGTTCTACAGCTGTAATATAACAAGCTGGCTGTTATATTACAGTGAAAAGCAAATTAACTCTGTTTAACATGATATTATGAAGCTGACTACTGTCTCAAAACGCAGTTTAGCGGCATTAAGTCGGGTTCGATTTCTTAAAGAACGACTTCACTGATATAAATGGTTGTTTGTTTGATGTCTGATTTTTTATGACAATCTACTTTATTCTAGCACTCATTGAAACTTTCTCCATGGGCTTAACCCAGTGCAAGGCCTTCTCTGCTGGCCGAAACAGAATCACAAAGTTATATCTATTTTATAATTTAATAATTTTTCATAAATACACTACATGTATTGTAATTATTTTTCCCATTATCTTATTTTCTCATTGCACAGCTACTGTCTTCCTCAGTTGCTCTGCTTCCAGTGCAGCTTGTTTTAAGTAGAGCTTTTATCCAATCAGATCTCACCTCTGTCTCTAGGTAAGAACTGAGGCCCGAGGCCTGCAGAGTCACAGGTGAATCCCTGAGCAGTTTAAGTGAATGGGGATGATATTGTTGATTGTCATGTTCTTCAACCAATCAGATCTTTAGTTTGACATGTTGGGCGTATTCTTTGACGTGCCAGAGCCTGCTAGCTGGCCTACAAGTACGTGATTGGTCAGTGGGCTAGCCTGCCATGTTGGGCGGTGACAATCCCAAACGCATTAAAACGTATTCAAGAAATACAACTGGGGAGGCTCGACTGTCTTCACTGGCGTCCATGAATCGAGAAGGACTTCTTACTGGAACTAAAACGCACGGATGTACTGAACAACCGAAACAAAGAAAGGAGGATGGACTTTGTCTTTAAATAGTGAACAGCAGCTTTGGTAAGTGAACTGCATTTGTTTTTAATCTAGAGTGAGCTTAACCTAGTGTTCATCTTCATATCTAATAAGAAAGGGCTTAAGCTAAGCCCCAGGTTTCATGTTTACAACTGGGAATGTGAACCCGGGGGTTAACATCTTCTGACGTCTCACAGCACTTGTGTGACGAGTGTTTGACTTCTTGAGAATATTTAATCATTAACGGACAAAAATCTAGAATCACAAACAAGGACAACCATTCTATTGGTTTTGTGTTAACTTATCCAACTGATTTTAACTTGCGTTTTTGCGGCAAATTCCCAAAAGTGTGGAAGATCCCTGCTCCGCAGTGGGTGTTTGTGAGCCTAATGCTACCCCACATTCAAAGCTGCAAGTGTAAAACAGCTAATGGGGCTGTAAGCAGTGGTCTTACTTGTAATTAGTAATCCATTAATGCTAATTAAAAGTCTGGCTCAGTTAAAACGCTGCCTGTCCGGAAGAAAAAAAATAGTTATTTGTTTAAGGGACCTAGCACAACAAAGTCAAACAAAAATGAACGAGGTACAGCAGCCAATTGTTCCATAATACTCCAAAATAAACTTTGACTCCTAAATACTGCTGACTGTTATATTTCGTGGACTTAAAAACGACAGCTTTTATGCTTGTTATTGTAAAACAAAAGCAGCTCTTACCCATCATGTTGTAGAGGCTCTGTGGTGCAAATTGTCTTGGCATTTTCTGTATTGCTTCTTTAAACACGGCGAGGGCCTCCTGTGAATGAAACAAATAACACAAAAAATAAAAAAAGAGAAGGTGGGGGATGTTTGCATTAGAACGGAGAGACCCAGCCAGAGGAACTGGCGTGGTGGTAACTAGTCATCCCTCCCCTGCAGCCGGGGGCCCTGACACTGTGAATACACAGCGTGGAATTGGGGGTCGCTGGGAGGCTGCTTCATACAGAGTCGAGCAGAAAGGGTCTATCCGCAGAGTCACGGCTGTTAAGACGACTAGAGCGGCGTCACACATTTGACTCTGGGATGTATAGCGCGTAGGTCCAGCGATTCACCTCAGAGTCCCTCCGAATTTAAATGGTAGAAGGAGTTGGAGCTACTTTATTGCTGAAGCAAATGTTGCGGTTAAAGACCGGAGGAAGTGGGACTGCTCTCTTCCTCCGGCATGCCAACAGTTTATGAAAGCCCTTATTGAATCTGCAGTTGTGCTGATTGAATCGGTGCTTATGTACAGTATAAATGTGCAGCGTTGGAAAAACGGTTACTTTAGCCAGCACTGTAGGTCTTTAGAGGCATGAAAGAGAGTTCATTAGTAGAAACAGCCCGAGGATTGTCTGCGCAAAACTCTGCGTCCCCTGTGACACAAGCAATTCTGGATCATGTCCATTTAAAAATGAGCATTTTCTCAGTGTCCCAAAAGCTCCTCGGGCAAAAGCCTGCATCTTATCTCAATTCACTCTGGTTTCACATTTCCCAGCATGTAAAGGTTTGTTAGACAACATATATATTGACTGACTCGTCCTATCTGAACTTACTGAAAATAAATATGTAAGTTAAGGAAATGAGTGTAACTCAGCACATAGCTAGGTGTGACATGTGTATATCTCTGTCGTACACCGTTACTTCAAATGATCACAGTCCCGTCAACAGCACTACGCCTGCCAAGAAAGTGCCCAGCACGCTGAAATATTTTGACATATACAAATGTGAAATAGATGTTTACCTCCTGGCGTCCCTGTTCGTGGAGCAGCTTGCCCAGGTTGTACAAGCAGCTGGTGACTGAGCTCTTGTGGGCGTGGGGGTCCTTCAGGTTTTCATCGGGGATGTCGGCGCAGGTCAGGAAGGTGCGCTTGGACTCATCTAGGCGACCCTGATTCATCAGGATGATGCCTGTGTTCAAGTAGGCCGCTGTTGGGAAAAACAAAACATGGACAATAGCGTGAATTCTGGCTGAGCATCGGTAACGTTCAACCAGATTCACGGAGGCGTGCACTGTAAACCTGACTTCATGCCTACAACTTTCACTGCTGCAGCTTCCTCCACAACGCCCAACCTCCTCCATGTGTGGTGCATTTTTTTGTACCGTTGATTTAACGACACAATATTTATGTGTTCATTAAGTAGGGTTCAGTTAATTAAGTAGAAACCTTGCTGCTTGGACTTATCGAGAGCTTCCTCAAAGAGAAGAACCTGTTCCGCCAAATCGAACAATATAACCATTTCCCCCAAATGGTCATTTCCTTCTCAGAAGTGTCTCTCACTGACCTGAATCCTCACAGATCAATGGTGCTGAAAAGATGAGTAATGGCTATTTCTACATTCCACATCTGAGGTGGAACAATAAACCACTGTTGCTCTTTCTAATGCTTCACTGTATATTTGGCCTTTGCGCTGCATCCTGTGGGATACTTTGGATGCTTGTTAAACTTTTTCCTTGAGTGGTCAGACACCAATAATCAATACGCAGCGGGAGAGTAATTAATCTCTGTGGACCTGCCTCTCAAAACAACTCCCTGTCAAGTCTGGTTGTTGGAATAAATTAACTTGCTGGAATAAATTAACTTGATACAGAAGATCAATCTGGAGGGCTCTTCTATAGGGTGTAGAACCAAACAGCCTTTTTTTCCTCCGATCAAACAAGTGGTCTTCTTCCTCTTCTGTCTTTGGGATTTGTTATCTTAAAAGCTCACATTGTTGTATTTCCACATCCTTGCACCTCACAGTCTCATCGTTGCTACATGGCGTTGCATTAGATGGTCAAGATAAATGGCCTTTTTTTTTCCCATTGCATGGATTTGCAATGAAAGCAGAACAGATAAGAAACACAACGGATTGACAAAAGAAATTAGGAATTTGCTCTTTTAAACTGATTTTCTGTACGCAACAAATATGTCACAAATCAATAGCACTTTATCACAAAAACAGCCTCGCTCTGAATATTCAATAAAATAACGCTACAGTTTTCACTAGTTAGCTCCCAATTAGTCAGCGAGTAATGGTTCAACCTTGAGAAACGCTTTTAACCGTCACATTAACATCCTGCCTCGAACATGTCTGCTGCTTGAGGTAACTAATTAAGCTCGTTATCGGCTATAACAGATTGGATAATTGCACGCTGAATGGAAATGTTCTCGTCTTACCGCGATCTTGATTAGGTGGATAATTAATCCAGGGAAGAAAGAAGGAGACGTTTTAAGATTCTCTGTTCACCTGTCATTGACTGACGCTTAGAACAACGGGGAGCTCATCTATTGCATGATCAGGTAAGATTGTGAGCGATTTGTTCTAATCAACCTGCTGAAGGTGGCAGCGTATGAAAAACGTAACTCCAGCAAAAAGCAGGGGGACATTCTCACGGGAAGGAGATGAAGAGGAAGAGGAAGGAGACGCACTCAAAACTGGGAGAACATAGAAGTGAAATTAGAGAGTAATGGCCTGAATTCATATTAAATGACATCATGCAGTTGCTTGGTCTGTTGACACGGCTTGGCTTTGAAAGGCAGTCAGACGGCTGTGTTGAATGTTGAACTCAGTCGCACACTCACTGCCCTTTGCCACCTACTCCTCTCCCTTCACATAGCCACGGCCGTTGTTCCCTGTTGCCTGGACACAGCGCAGCCGCAACCACAAGAGCTGGAGATTGTCAATAAAATAAATAAATAAAGAGCTGTACTTACAAGCCAGAGTTGGCCGGCTCCCAATGGCCAGCTTATAGTAGTGGAGTGCCTCTGAGAACTTGTTGCTCTCCTGTAGCAGCAAACCGCTGAAACAGACAAAAGGAAAGACGGTACAAGCAGTTTAGAGCTTTAAAGAACTCAAAGGAGGAGACGTTTGAAAGAAGCCTCTGTAAAAAAAGCAGCTGATACAAGTGAAGAGGAAGATTTAGATCTCAACAAACCGCAGACACTTGAGCACACATTGAGTGTTGGCTGTGGATGTTTTGTGTTTGGACCTCAGGCTAAGACAGCGTCATTAATAACCCTGTCAGACAGACAGCCCTCTGGGGAATACAAGACAAGACGGCACTTCCTCTGAGAGAACTGCTATGATCAATGGACCCAGGCATGTAAAATGAGAACGTGTCCATTTGTTCGCACGCTCCCAAGTCATTCAACCAGCCAGGAGCGGAGACACAAAGAAACTCAGCAGAGGCGAACGAACGTGAGCATTAAGGATAATATAAAGTACAACACAGCAGTATGATGAAACACTAACTCACAGGTTATACAGCATGTCAGCCATGTTGCTGCGGTAATAGAGGGCATTTCTGTACGCCTGCTCAGCCTCCTCCATCTCGCCCTGGCTCTTCAGGACATTTCCAAGGTTGCCCCATGCTGACAGGTTACAATAGAAAAGGTTAATCACACAGAGTGAAACAGAACATTTGTGGCAACCTTCTGAAATAACTTTTTCAGAATCTTTAAAAGCTTTTTCGATTTAAAAGCATCAGGAGAGGACATTTCTGTGGCAGGTAATCATTTTCACGAGTTCAGTGTTTTTTTTAACCTCTAAAGAGAAAGACATTATGGGCAGACACAGACGGGGGAGGTTTGAGCCAAAAGCACCAGTCAGTCCTACGTCGGTGGGCATGAAAAGAAGACCACCACAGAGCTATTGCACAGAGAATGGCATTTGGGTCTGAATGGCAGAGTTCAGCAACTGGCAGGTGAAATAAAGTTGCAAAGAGCTTGTGCAGAGACCATGGAGTGTGAAAATAAATGTATAGGGAGCAGAAAAAATAATCAATGGATGTAAAATAGAAGCCAATGTCAATGGGTACGCAACATAACATCCTCTTTGATCTGTTTTTAAGGTTACTTTATAGTCTGCACAAACTCAACTTGAGTAACTATGATTCAACAGAATGAAAGGTGTAAAAAACAATCATTAAAATAGATAAATAGGCCTAATGACGTCATTGTGCATCAATGGTGTTATATTATACGGTTTCTTCTTTCATCTCCACAAAGTATTATTGAATAAAGAAGATAAAATCTTGGCTCTTTCTGCTTTTGTTGACATGCATTTAAAGTGCTAAAATATACAGTGTGCCCTTAAGCAACGTATTTACAGTATTTAGTTGTTGAAAATCCAAACATCCACAGAATTTCAGAAGAATATTCAGCATAAACAGAGAACAGCAGAAAAACAACCCAAGCGTCCTTCGTTCCACTGCGCTCCAGTTGTGCACAGACGAACTCGTGAAGTGTCTTTCACAGGAAAAGCTTTGTGCACTCGGACATTTCACAGTTCACAACAATCCAACGAGTGTGTCCGTGTTTGAGGTTGGGTTCTGTTGAACTCTCATATTAGCAATAACGAATGTGAGTTGGGGACATTGCTGCTGCTCTGTTCGGGCTTGATGGCCTGCCAAAGCAAACAGCTGTCACGCCTCAGCTCCGCTCAGAATCTGAGAGGGAAATTAGCTAACACAACATGTCCCGCTGTTGCCTTGCGAGTACCCTGCCCTGCTGCCCCTCCTCAGCAGCTCTGAGAACTTTGCTTCGGATAGAAATCTGTGTCCTATGACCTCTGAATGTGGAGGCTACTGAATATTTCCTCCTCTGTTACAGGTGCCAATAGGAGACGGGTGATTTCGTCCTGCCGAGTTAAACGGGGCATCTGGTGTCATTAAACAGATCACATGCTGGGTATAAGAAGATGTATGATAAAGAGGTACAACTCTGTTCTAGGCCTTGGAAAAGTAAAATCAAGAAAGAAGCCTCGAGTAGTACTCCAGTCTCATTTGGTTTTTTGGGCACGCCTTGTGAGCACTTGTATATTCTGTGGTAAGGCTGAGTGACGAAGAGAAGACATTTTGAAGCAGCTTGACTTTGAATTATTCAGGGCGGCAGTAGTAGAGAGACAGCAGCGCACATTATCAAATTCAAAACTGTGCCTAAGAGCTCGCTCACTATTCAACAAAATATGTTGGGTGAAAGAGGTTTTTTGGTGCTGGAATATGTATAAAAGTGCATAAAAAAGTGTGTACGTGCACATGCGAGAGCGGTTGCACCTTTGTGCGTGCTGATTTTAATGAAAGGGCCTCCTTACCTTTAGCAGGATTGACATAAATCCCAGACTTGTAGAGCATCTCCTCGTTCTGCCAGTCCCGGTTCCTCAGAACAGTTTTGACACTGAAAAGAAGGATGACGGCACCGCTGCAGTACACCAACAGCGCCCTGGAGGACCTGTGTCGCAGACGGACGTACAGAGACCTCATCCCCACTGCCACCAGCAAGCAAAAGCCCATGCTGGGGATGTACAGTACTCTCTCTGCTATCACAAACCCCACGTAGAAAAACAAGTTCGTGGCAGGGAGGAAAGGGATTGCCAACAGGCCTAGCGAGAACACCACGACATTTTCAGTGGTGGGCAGTGGAGTCCTGCTCTCATAGTGCTTTTTGGTACCATTCTGGGCACTATTAATGTGAGCGTCTGTGTGGGAATTGTTCAAATGTTCATGATTGTTATGTTGGTAACTGTGCCCATTGCTGTTCCCATTTCTGCCATTGGTGTAATGATGCGCTTTGCCATTGGTCTCCTTGCCTTTAGCCGCCCGGTGCGTCCACAGGCTGAACCCAGCCAGCGAGAGCAACCCAAGGTAGAAGACTACAGTGTGAATGTTCCTCCAATCGGCAAGGCTCCTGATCAAAGGCAGGGCGTCCATTGACCAATCGAAGCTGAGCGTGTTCGGGCAAAGGAGAAGCCACGAGTTGGCGGCGGGCAGGTAGGAAAAGGTTAGCGTCCTGGTGAGGAGAGAGGGGGAGTCGGCTGCCGGGTTGTCAGAGTTGGAGAAGTTGGGGGGTTTGTTACCCATCCAGTAGAAGCGGCCGGCCAACAGGACGGCTCCCCAGGCTGCCAGCAAAAAGACATTGAGCAGCAGGTGGACGTTCTTTCTCTAAAGGACAAAGAAAACACAGAAACAGTGATCAAACCCTCAGTCCACAGGATAGGAGAGGAACGACTGTTGCAGAAAATATACTGCACATGTGGAAGCATCAAGCTAAACCTAGCTTTCTGGGTGGTTGTAATATTTATGACTCTTGGACCTTTACATTTACTATGAACCGGGGCTATGGATTGGAAATTGATGAAAGGAAAGCCCGATTTACTTCGACTCTCAAGAAAATAAAATAGCTGCAATGGTACAGCTGCATAATCAGCTGCCATCTGGAACAAAATGAGTGTCCAAGACAATTTAGAAAGTGTTCATTAAATAGAGTGGCTTTGATACATTTCTTTTTTGTTCTGTTTTGGCTGCTGCGCTTCATCCAAGAGGGAAAAACTGCACACTGACTTTTCATTTAAGCCAGAACATGTCAATTAATCAATTTTTTTTTTGATAAATAAGATGACTCTGCACCAGAATTTTCCATTCATGCACACATTCTTTTCCTCCATGGCCTTCATAGACATATCAAAACAAACACAACTATTCATCATAGTACAGACTCGATATTAAACACTTTTCCAAATGCTATGTTGGAATGCCTATGAAATATATACAGTGTGTTTGGTTGTTTAATACTTTGCCGTCAAAGCATTGAAAAATTACTGGACATATTTCCCCACAAGCATGTTATTTTGTCAAGTTAGGACCAAATGACCTTTCGTATTGTGCTCATGTTGGAAATCCAAATTAATTTTTTCTCTTGCTTTTTCTCAAATCAGCAGCTGGAGCACACACACAGTAATGTCCACTCGTTACCCGCAGTGTCCTACATGAACTATGCAGCAATAGATGGTTCCATTAGTCGCAGGCGTCTAAATCTAAATCTCAGGGCATCACAGTCCTCGATTTCTTCTCAGACAAATGGCTTTTCATTACTTAGAATTAAACCCGAGGCAGCACAGGCCAACCCCACATTACTTTTATTCCAGTGGATGTGATCCCTCTTCATCTCTACATACCAAAGGGCACAAACATGTCTCATCTGTGATCATACTCTTCATATCACCACTGCTCTGGGGGTGTACTATTGATCCCCTTGCCTGTCCATTGTTATTTGCAGATTGCATCTGTGAAGAGATGCTTCAATAACCTCAGGGGACATCTGACTACAGGGCCAACGCTTTGTTGTCTGCTAATGATCACGAGCTGCAGCTCAACAGGAAAGGAGACTGGAAACACAGGAGACGACACCGTGACAACACCATGACAGCTCATTACAATATGTGCTGTAGTGCAGCGGAGGAGGTGAACACAACAGCCGGTTACATACAATGCAATCAAACACAACACCTTTGTATTCTGACGAGTGAAAGCAGAACTCCTCGTCTCGGTCATACCGACCTCTGAAGTGCTCGGTAGAGCACCAGGTGCACTTGTGTGGTTGAAGCACAACACTGTGGTGCTGAATATTTGCATTCAATATTCATAGTATTTTTTGAAAATATCAGAAACGTGAAAAAAAACAAAAAAAAAAACTACATGTATAAGGTCAACGTTGTCAAACCCTTCGGTGGTGGCCTGACAACAACCCAGAGTGCAGTATGTCATGATGTTCAGCCACTGCTGAGGAAGTTATATGGTTGCTTGGCAACAAAAGGTCACTGTTTCAATCCACATCACCATGTCTCATGAATATGAGCCAAAGGTGTTACAGTCAGCTCGCTATGAATGCAATGGGAGGACAGGAGAAAGTAAAGTAATGTGTCTTATAGAGTAGGAATCAATAGAAGGCTAGAATTATGAGAAATGTTATCAGACAGAGTTCAAGATTATTAAAGTAAGAAAATGAACATCAAGGCTCTGTGAACGGTGAACTATTTTAACATTTCAAGCCGTAATTAATCTACTTTAGCTAGAAACCCACTGTGAAAACGGATGCTCCAGCATAAAAACAGAAGACCACAGCTAAGCAACTGAATACAAAACAATGGAGTCGATAACAAATAATTGCAATGATCTCAATGCTATTATTAAAGATTAAAAACAGGAAAGGTACTAACATATGTTGCTGTATTCAGATACAACTGATAACTTGGTGCAAGGTTCCAGAAATAAGAGAAAAGTGGAGTTTTGTCTCGTGAGAATTCAATGTGACCGACTGAAACTGTGCCAGTTCAAGTGAAGGCTAGAACAGAAGGCACACGCGTCACGATGCAAATTATATTGAAATGGTCCAGCATAAAAGAAAATATATGAAGAATAACAGCATGGCTATGTATCATTTTAATTAGCATACGGTGACACAAAAGAATGCAGCATCTATGTTCCTGCTGATTGTGGGACTGACCGCTGAGGCCGGCTTGAACCAATATGAATGCATCCATGAAGACAGGATGACATAGATCCTGTTATACAAGTCAAGAGAATGCCCTTCTGTATGTTTCGGATATAATGGAGGTGAAATGTGTTTTTTCGACAGAGCCAAGCTAGCCGTTCCCCCGTTTTCATCATTGGTGCTAAGAGCTACCGGCGGCTAGCTGTAGCGTCGTATTCATCCTGAGAGTGGTGTCAATCTACTTATCTAACTATCCGCAACACACTTTACCCACAAAATGTCCCACTCCTTCAATGCTTTACAAGATGTTATCGTCTCGATTTGTCTTCTCTCCAACTAGATGTCCCGTTCATATGTCATGATGTCTAAAATAATACAGCCTATTGAATTAAACTTTAACAAAACAAGAAAAAATTGGCATATTATTATCCCAAATATATTCAAATGTATAACTGTACAAAGTGCAGCCCACACTGAAAATCTGTCATCCGAACTCCATATGAACTCTTGGTACGGATGGATGGATGGGTGGGTGCAGATTATCCTCTTCAAATCTCAAACACCAGGTTTCAATCAATCCCTAAAATCACTGGAGTGGCAAAAATGGAGGTCTAAGCAGGTGAGCATACATTCTTCAAAAGAAATGAAGGAGGCTGATGTGGTCTGTGAGGCCCAGGGGGCTGTACTTTGTGCAGACCTTGCCAGCGAGGCTTGCTGAGCAGGGTTAATACATCTCAATCACTGCTTCAGCGAGATCCAGCTTGGATTTATGAGGCTCTTCTATAAGCTCTCAAGTCGCCTCTCTGGCCGACGCGCCTGCTCATGAGACACCCCCTCAAAGTTATCTTAGAGCACTCTAGAGGAGTGGAATAAAAGCTTCCTCTATTTTTAGAGCAAACAGGTCATCCAAAATTGGGTGCGATATGTATGGGGCACTGTGCCAGGTTCCCAGACAACATTCAATGAGCCAATTTATTTGCCGTTCATGGCCGATCCGTGCAGTATACCTTCGATTCTGCAGAGCAGCTTTGCTCCTGCTGCAACGAGACCACCGTCCGAAGGGCAACGAGGTGGCATGTGTGTTTCATGTCTTTGTGTACACACCTCTTAAAAGTGCTGTCGACAACCTGGCATGGCTCCCATACATGCCCCCCCCTGCCCCCCCCCCCCCCCCCCGAGACAAAAAGATATGTCAACCTCACTCTTCCCAGACGCAGCGCACGCTGGGACACCGCCACCTTAACCACATCCACGTGTCGATGCTGAGGGCTGAGCCGGTGTTCCATTTACATTCTTGTGCTGCACTTCCACATTCAGATTCCCCCTTTCTCCATGCAGAATGAGGTCTATGGGTGGTATTGAGAACAAAAAAAACAAAACAATGCTTTGACTGCACCTCAGCACACATTTGTAACCCCCCCTGCTCCTCCTCTTGGCCTACTTTTCCAACTGCTGTGACTTTCTAAAAGGACAATAAATGTGAACGCAAAGACGTATACAGGCAGCAAGCAAACAGGACGTGCTCTGGAGATGATCTGGAGGACACATTACTGCTGCGACAACATGAACCTCATGTCTATTATCTCTTGAATGAACAAACATGTGCATCCTCCCTAATACACCTGCGGTTAAAATGTCTACCATTCAAAAGCACAAGTTCAATTACCAGCCGGGCAACGGCTCCCTGGTCGCTGTAGCTCTCTTATGAAGGGGAAACCAAGGGGATTCCAGCTCTGTGTCTTTTGTCTATAATCCAGTTTAGTTTGAAATAAGTGGTTTAGCACAGCCCCGTAGGAGGCTTGAGGAGGGTGTGTTTTTTTTTTCCTTCCCTTTTGTGTTTCAGGCGCAATCAGTCCAGAATTGAAACAATTTAGCTTTTATAAGCCAGGCATGTGAATAAAATATCCTTAGAGATGAAATGCAAAACAGGCCAATTACGGAATCCCTATTCGTGCCTGTGCCTGCCTCCCCCCCCCCCCCAATAGACATTAAGTTGAATTGACTGAAATGAAAACTTGTTCTAAACCGTTTCTTTTTCTTCTTCTCTTTTTTTTTTTTTCTTTCTTACATCTGCTCGAGTGATGTGAAAAAAGGTTTGCTGGAAAATAAAGTACAAAAGAGCTGAGAGAGAAAATTCATTAATTATTTTGGAGAAAGTGCTCTATTCTCTACACACGGGCGGTTTTTTGCATAATTGGCTGATGCACACCATACCATTTTAAGAACAATCCATCACGACACATCTAACTAGCCCATCAAACTGAAGCGCCGTGACTGGCTCACACTCCAGCGAGCTTCAAGAGAGAATCCTGTGGAAGAAGAAGTGGCATGTCTGACCTATCCCCTCCTCTTCATCATTACCCAGATCAATTGTCTGCAGAGGGCTTTTCATCAAGATCCGGCTTCACATTGATGGACTTGTAATGGAAGTGAAAATGAGCTCCGGGTACCAATCAGAGGGAATAATCACCTTCAAAGCCTTCACACTCACACATACAGAAAGCTCAAATTTGATATGAACACCGGATCCCCTTTAAACATTCTGCATAAATCTTTCTATGGGTTTGATGGATGGATATACACTCCGTGTCCTTGTTCCTTGACCGCTGGACCAGCTAATCGAGCTTGTTGTGGATGAAGCACAAACGCACCACCTATCTTTTCTCCTTAT